ATAAGTGCATACCAGTCAAGAAAAACAAACCCCATATAGCCCAAAACCATGATCTAACCTGAAAAGAAACAATGTCTAATACCCCCTTTCCCCCCACCATTCAAGAAGCAATATCACAATCCAAAACCCGAAGACCAAGGGACATTCCATTCATACTGAAGTCATTACAATATAGAGAAAAGTATATTTATTTCAAATTATATTGTTTCCATTCAAATATGACCATTGAATTTCAGAAATTTTTGATGACTGGTTTAAGAGAAACGTGTGTTCAAAAAGTTCACCATATCGATATCATCCTTTTCCTGAAATAAAGTAAAATCTATTGGATTTTTAGTCTTTACTACCTTTAAATTAAAAGTTAAAGGTGCCATTTTATATTAAAAATAAAATTATTATCCTGAAAGAAAATCAGATCTTTTAGACTTTTAGTCTTGTCTTTCTTTAAATAAAAACGTTTAAGATGCAAAAATTGTTTGTACTATTTGTCCATGGAAAATGAACTTACGAACTTGCTTCACAACATAAGCATCTGAAAATTTTCTTTGGAAAATGATTTTCCAACTATTTTTTTTTTAAATATGATCTTTACAAATGGCGTTAAATAATTCATTATAAATCAAATATGGACTGAGGCCAAATTCAGAAATTTCCTGTCAATCACAGACTTCATGAAGTCTGCTAATACAGTCTGGATTGTCATTTGAGGACATTGCAAAGTAACTCTCAGACTCTTGCTCAGTTTTTAATCAATAGGTTTATTTCATAAATACAAACAAATATATGCTCGCCAAATAGGCTTCCTGCATTTCATGTCCCCATATAAAGCTTTGTAATAGGTACTTTATCTAGTATTAAATACTAGAACAATAAATACATTATTGGCAATGAGCATCATCTAACCATCAAGTCAGTTTTGTCCTTTAATTTCAATAAAACACAGTTGACGGGTATTGTTGCTATTTAGAGATCCATCGGTTGTTAAAATCCACTCTGTACTAATATTTGTTATTTCATATTTACAGCGTTGCTATTGGTACTACTTTGTAGAAAGGTACCTTTCTAAGGAAAATGAAGTTAGGCTATAATGTCTCGAAGAAAGGGGATTAAGAAATATTGGCGTTTGAGTAATTCATCTATTTAATCCAGTAACATAACCCAAACAATTTTGTGTAACTGAATGTTAAAAGTGTGTTAAGTTAGTGCACACAGGTTACAGATTCATATAAGGATGAAACATTGACGTCACGCCTCATCATACCAATATATTACTTCATTGTTTGGATCTGCACTGAATCTATGAATAAGTGTAGACTCGATGGCATTGAATGACTCTTGCCTTTATTGCACTACTCTCAAATCCATCTTTAAAATAAGTTTACATGTAATCGGATAATGAGCTCTAAATCTGTTAAGGAATCAATGGGGATTTAGTGAATGGTTAGAGAAATTTCGAGGTCTTTAGAGTCGATCAAATCTGTTCCTGTCAATATCCCAAACAGATTCAGGTCACATTGCCTTAAACGTGTCTGTGTAAGAAAACGCTTAGACAAGGGCTCTTTTGTTATTAATGAGATTCAACGGAATGGTCAAGTTTTTCTCGTCATTATTTTACTGGAACCCCTGTCCTAATTATTTGTTCTTCAAATATCTCAGTGTTCATTCGACTTGGTTCTAAAATGTTGCTTTTATCCATAGCGATTGGCTATCTCTATTGTTTCAAAGCTAAGTTTGAGAAACGTGTTTTCTAGACTTAGAAGGAAATCCTGATATTAAGATGAAAATGCTCCCATTTGAGATCCCATGATATTTTCTTACTGACATCGAATAGTCACATTTCATCTGACCTTTCAATTTCGGTAAAACTGATTTGAAATGAAATAACCAGAGATTAAATTTGACTGTAAAATCATGTGCACACATGTACTCTTTGATAGAATTCACAGCAACCTGAATCTCCCAAGAAAATTAGTAAATCCAAACTCTATTTATTCTCGCCATTGTTCTTCCATTGGGTCTGTAGATAATAGGTGTTTTTATAATATACTATTGAATTTTATCGAGGACTTCGATGTTTTTATTGAGTAGTATATCCAAATATTAGGAAGTTTAAGCTTGCAATTTTTTTCATAACCTAAACGTGAACGGAAAAGATTTAAGCGGTGCATTTGTATGGGCGATTTGTCGTACGTTTATGTTGGCGTTTCGATTTTATCTTAATTTACAGTACTATATCAATCATATTTAAATATTATCTCTGTATATTGATAATGCTTAAATGTATAAGGGATTTCACTTATTGTTTCAGCTGCGTTTGTAAGCAGAGTAGATCCTCACCACGGAAGTCTAAATGGAGAGACCAGAATCACCATTCATGGAGATGGTAAGAAATTATAACAATATCTACCATGTCTACATACTAACTAATAGTATTTTTTAATTGTGAGTACATGCTGAATGACAATAACCTGTAGTAAGTACGGGTATGATATGTCCAACAAAAAGATGGCGTTGTTACGTTCAATCTTTTTTTGCTAGAGGAAATCAAACACTAACGTTCCAATAAATGATCAAATATACGAAAAAGCAACTTCAAATTTTTAGAACTGTCATATGATGATTTAATGCAGGGTTTGCCAAGAATCAGTTCTCTTTCGGAGATGGTATGGATCACGTTGGTAATACAGTGACACTGGTGTCTGGGAAAAGCTCATACCCCTGTCGTATACACAAAGATGGCTGTACTGAAAAGCAGATCATGTGCTATACTCCGTAAGTATCTGATCATATAGCCTGATCACACCTTAAACACTGCTCATGTCGTAAATATGTCCATGCAGTTTAAACTGCACTTATTTTACACTTTTCACTTGCAACAATCCCTTCATCCCATACTCTATTTGCGACACACGTTGGACACTTTTCGTATAATATACTTAAAATATAAGCACAAGTTTAAAAGGAGAAAATAATATAGATCATTAAAAACACAGTTCGAGAAATATATGTTGAATTTTTAACTGGTCATTGTGAAGCAAACCCCCAACATCCCTAACAATGAGTTAAGATGTCGTAGAAAACGAGTTATAAAGCCTCCAACACATAATTATAACCCAAACCCATCCATGATTCCAAAATCATGAATCAAAATTCCTCTCATATACAATATACACAATAAAACTATATTCCTGGAGTTTGTTCATTGTGCTTAACTCGAATTGACCTTAATTGACATTTTTAATTTCTAGTTCTATTTTGGTTTGTGTGTTTTAGACAACTTGCTTTCGACAACTACTATGTTCGTGTGGCTATCGATGGAAAGATGATAAGTGATGATAAACTCTGTAATGGAAATCCAGATCATTATAACTGTTTGTTTCAACCCCATATACGGCACACCCCTACTCTGCAAACCATTTCTCCGCGCTCTGGCCCTCCAGGTAAATTACGTTACTACTTTTGTAGAAGCAATTTTTATCGGAATTATGATTGAGAAGGTTTTCCCTTTGAGTTAGTGATCTTAATTAAACTTAACTATGTACAGCAACAGATCTGAAGTGTAAACAGAAGTACCGTACGCGTATGATCTTTATTGTACCATCTTTTTCTATTATTTGTAGGGACTATTGTCACAATGTATGGTAAGCTATACACTGATCTCTATGGAAGCAACCAAGAGAAAAGCTCAAATGACAACTCTGCTGATATCAAGAGAGTCTACTTTGGAGGACAAAAATGTGAACTCAAAGTGCCAGATACTGAATCCAACTCATTAACTGATGAACTGTAAGTTTTTTATGAAAAATCGATGTGAACTGTACTTAAATCACTCGGCTTTTCTTACTCCACCTACTTTGCATTTCACTTTTTAAAATAATAGGGAGGGTAAGCTACATGTTTAAGAGAACTTGCACGTACATGCTTGTTGAATTATGGTCCTATTGAATTAGTTCTCATTTCCTTATATATCTGCCTGGTGGAGTATCTGTATAAAGGTATGATGAAAATAGTTGCAATTAGGTGACCGTGACCATTGAGATGGTACAGTAACCCATTGCAGTCATTATGTTATATATGAACATACAAGTGCTCTTAAAAACATCTTGCGAATTCCACCATATTTCAGATATGGCTTGGCTCTAGATGAAGGAAGTGACTATGGAACACTGAAGTGTAAGATGGAGGGTACATACATTGGCAGTCTCAATGCTAGTGCTATTGTCTCAACACCCTATGGACGCACACAAGCTGACCTTGACATGCTTCACATCACTTTTAACAATAAGATTGCCATGTTCCAGACATATGCGGGTAGGTTTATATCACTCTACTACAGTACTATAGTTAGTAGTTTTAGTTTTGTTCTGTCTATTGTCTTTGAGGAATACTCGATTACATTTATTTTCTTAATCAGATGCAGTTTCCTTTTTATTTTTGATATATGAGAGATGTCAAATGTTAATTTGTACATGATTGATAATGTTCACGATGTGTTTCAGAGGTGACTGGAGTTAGCCCAAGCAGTGGCAGTACATCAGGAGGTACCAGGATCACTATTACTGGGAGGCACTTTGATGAAACTAATGCTCCAGCTGTAGTTGACATATCAGGTACATCTTGCAGTATAAAATTATACCACCAAACTGCAGTGTTGAGTGTTGTTTTTCATAGGATTTTGACATAATGTAGTTCACAATGGTCATTTTTTGTTGTTCCACTGACTTGGTGAAATCATTGGATGCATTGAAATTGTCATGATATGGATTATACTTAGTTCTCCTCAATTAAGTTCAATGATAAAAAAAATGAAATTGACTGCATATGTCATTTCTCAATAGGATCTCATTGTGAAGTTGAGTCTTTGTCTGATACATCTATCGTCTGTATTACTGGACCACGTCCTAGCGACCAGACCATGTACCCTGGCAACCGTGGAATCAACAAAGAAATGTGGAACTCCACTACTGTATCATTTAATGAACTGGAAGAGGTGATGAACTACACAGAAAACAACCCTCCAAACTACTCCATTGAGTGGATGGATGAAGCTGCATTTAAAGACACCTCAGACATTGATAACTTTGTCACAAGGCTAAGGGGATTCTTTGTGCCACCTGTCGATAGTGAATACATGTTCTATATCAAGTCTGATGATACCAGTCGTCTCTACCTGAGCCAGTCTGCTGACCCTGAAAATAAGGTACTAACCTTTCTTATTGAACTTAACTAATACAATTACAAAAAATAATTTACTCTGTACTACTCTTGAACAACCTCAAACCAAAATAATAGTCAAGTAATTCAGTGTATATTTATTCACAATATTTTAGACAGAAGTGGCCTATTGTGATGGTGCACGCTCCAGTTATGCAATGCCGTCTCAGATGTCAGAAAGAGAAGCAATGGAAGCTGGCAAGAAGTAAGTGAACATTGCAAGTTATTTCTGCTGAACTCACGTTTTACATATTCCAAGTTCTTCTCACGTTCTCACATTTTCAGGGTCACAACAAATGATCTGGTCACATATTTAAGACTTTCAGATCTCCCATTCTTGGTCTTTTTATATATCTATCATAATAAGTTTAGTTTGTTTACAATTACAATTAAAATGATGGGGTTGTGGTTTTCAGTGTTTCTCCTAATATTGTTGATTTGGCCTTTTCTCATTGGCCCCTGTACTTGATACATAATGTACAATGTACAAATGCCATGTACAAATAACTATAATGGTCTACATTTTAGGTATTATGTAGAGGTGGTACAACAGGAGGGCAATGGTGATGCTTCGCTATCAGTTGCTGTGAAGATGTTCACCACCAAGTTCACTAGTCAGGAATCTGGGGATGTGGACACAGAGAGGCAGACTGTTTTCACTACATCTACAATAGTCAAGGAGCAACAGGTACTATCAAGGGACTATTTAAGGATTCTGTTGAATGTTACATTGAGGAAATGTTAAGTAACGTATATTTCAATCTGTCTTATATGAATTCATGATTTATTAATGTATATATGTTCTCCTTTTGTACAAATTAAAGAAGCCAGAGAAAGGACAGGAGTCTATTGAAACTTACAGAAACAGGGTTGAAAATAAGTTAGGATTATACTTTATTGGAGTATGTTTGTTTATTGTAATTAAGTCACTGTCATATGTACACACGAGTGCCAAAGGGAAAGTACCAAAAAGTTGTAAATAAGGAATCCAGTAATAAAAAGAATACTTGGAGCTTTATACCAGTCATAAGGAAAACAAACCCAACTATCTCAAACTATAATCCAACGAAAAGAAACACTTTCTAATACCAATACTTCGCTAAATGACGAATGATTTCACTGGTCCATTGGAAGGGATTGATTTTCATCTGAAATGACTTATGAGGCATTTCCTCAGTAAAATATGTTGAAAAGGCAAGGCCAAAGCCTGAAAAATTTTGATAGGAAAAAATTCTAATCATATTTTTGTTTTCTAGCTTCAGAAAAAATGAATTTGTGAATACATGTTTACATTTACAAGACTTTATACAAACTATTAAGACATTTGAATTACATATATGTTTCAGTCAGTGGAACTGGAGAACTGGTCCAGTCAATCGTCTACAAATGAAGTCCAGAGAGTAACGGTGAATGCTGTCAGTGGAGCTATCAGACTTGGCATGGATGGTGTATATACAGGTATAGATAGAATTTTGCATTATTGTCATGTACGATATCCAGTTATATGTTCTAACTCATCTTATTTTCATCATCAAAGTTCCATGATTGTGTTTACAATATATGATTAATATTTTTGAAGATACATAAATTCAAACAATGTTCCAGGTTTGATTGATATAAGTGATCCAGACTCAGCAACTCTGATGGCAGATGAGTTGAGTAAACTGCCTACTGTGTCACCTGCCACTGTCCTTGTCACTGTCAATCCAAGCGGCTCTTCAATAGAGTTTGTTGTCACTTTCACATCTACAAGAGGTAAATTTTATGTGGTTTATGCATTCAAGAATCTAGAAAGTTATTCAAGAATGTAGAATGTTAATTATATTTTCAAACAACAAATGAAAAGTATGATTTGTAGCGATATGGTGAACTAAATTCAACATTATTGAAAACAATCTGTAAAACACATCCGTTGTGTGTGATCGTCACTGATTGACAAAAATCAAATGTCAAAATTATTTATACATATTTTACATTATTGTTATAGTAAACACCCTTTTCTTTGTAATGCAATTGTTCTTATCTACCAATTCTTGAGAACGAAATAAAACATCTATCTATATTTTCAATATACTTATTTTAAATGAACCAAACGTTCCTTGTTTTCTAAAGCAATATATAAAATAAGTAGATAGATATTTTCAAATTAGATTGTTACTATGCAAAGATGATCATTACATTGACAATGTGTAATTTCTTTCATAATTTTTTGAAGACTAGTTTATGAGAAAAAATGTGTTCAATTTAGTTAACAATATTGCTACCAACCCTTTACAAATGGTGTAACAAAAGGAATAAAATTTGCATGACGTTAACATTATAAATTGTTTTTAGAACATAGATTACTGGTAGCTAAAATGAATTTTATATATGAACAGCATGTAATCATACATATTTATATTATCTACAGGCTATTGGCCTGCCTTGACTTACAAAGGGGCCGATGGAACAGCTAACATGGTGGTCATTAAGGAGCTAACCAAAGGGGTTCCAAGTTTAGAGACATTTCAGCTGGAGTTTGATGGTGTACCAACTGTTCCATTAGCCATAGATGCTTCTGAAAATGATGTAAGGACTATAGCATTATACAATATTATATATTTATTCACATTCAAAAATAAATTGGCTGAAGTAAAAAGGTATCGTATCATGTTCATATGATAATGACGTTGATGTGAATGAAGTGACATATCTGTTGCAGTTATAATCATCATGGTTCTTTCAATGGTTGGGGTATGGCGTTCAACGCTGTTTCTATGTGCGTTATAACATTGTTTGAGATGTTCAAGAGTTTTGATGACCAATGTAACGTATGTTTGGGTCAACATATTACTTATTGTTATATTAAGGACAGTTAAGCAGCGTGTGTGTGTGCAGAATATCTAAGCACGAGTGCCAAAGGGATAGAAATGTCAGTTGTGCTTCCTCTGGTGTGTTCGAGCGTTAACATCAGCTGACTCTAGTCAGATCGACTGACAAAACAACCTTTATTGGGGTTGTCGAGTTGGCCGAGAGGGCTTGAGCGCCGGCACGTTGGAGCTATAGGTGATTGGGCGCCGTAACCACGTGTTTGCGAGTTTGAGACGCGTGTGCTCCGTGTGTTTATTCATTTACTTAAAAATAAGTTGTTGTTTTGTCCTTTCAGGTCGAGTCAGCAATCAATGACTTATTCAGCTACAGATGTCCCGAAGAGATAATAAAGCCTTCAAATAAATACTATTTTGAAGATTATGAAAGCAACTCATTTGTATCTGGTACAAAAGATACAACAGAGCAACCATTTTGTGGTCGCAGTTCTGTAAAAAATCCAAACAAGGTCTTTGAAGATTTCAATGACCCCATCTCTCTTTCACAGCACAAATATGTAAGTTATTACTTTCTGTACAAAATTCCTGTCATCCTTCGAATTAGCTCAAACAGAACTTGCTTAAATAAGTTATCCATATGCAATCATTTAAATTTTGCACCAATTAAAAACATTTGGTGGACATTGAGACATACAATGTACTAGTCCATATGTATGTATAATCCAACATATTTTAGATGTGTGTGGCTTACAAAGGGGATTGGAGGAACCTTATCAGATTGGACTACAACTATGTAGATGCTGACAGAAAAGAACAGAGTGGTTCTGTTTTTATTGACCATGAGATGTATGCTGATGGTGAAACTGACCGTGACAGGTAATATTTATTTGGAATTTATGAACCTTCACCTCAATACAAAAATTACAGTTGTTTGACTTTAATTTACTTAAGATATTTTCCTTTTTTTAAAACAACAAATGTTTTTGTTTTAATTTTAGTTGGCAATACACGTGTGTTGACTTGTACTCAAATGTGTTTGCTGCTCATCCAACTGGTAGCTTCTTTGAAGGGACCAGGGTCCGTCTGTTGAGAAACAGTGATGCTTGGGCAGATGTCGTTTACATCGGAAAGAAGCCTCTTGTCCAAACAAGTCAGTTCCCAGAAATTACACTTTTGGCTGAAAGTAAGTTGATCATATTTTTGCTTCCAGTATCTATTTGTATGAGATAATATGAATAACAACAAACTGTTTACATTATCTTGAGAGTGAATAAAACTGAAATATCACAATCTTACATACCATTATCAACATAAATTATAAGAAAAATATAATACTTTGCCAGCATGAAAACGTCTTTCAAAACGTCTGTCAACAAAGTAAGTGTACAATGTTTTTCAACAATCTCATAACAATTCAGATGACAATAAAAACATAACTATAAAATAATTTTAAATGTTTTTTTTCTTTCAAAAATTGTACTAAAGGACAAGTGATCTTGATTAAATATATTGTAGTAAAAAGCAGACCAAGTAATAAAATTATTTCCTGATGTTTTATAGACATTCCTGATCAAATAGTTGCTCCGCCCACCCCAGGGGGTCAGATGATTGACTCTGTAACATTGTCCAAGAGTGGCAACCAGATGAATATCACAATGAATGCCCTGGAATGCTCACATAACTTCCCCCTGTTCTCTGTCAGAGGTGGCAATGTAAGTTTTCTATAGTAGTTCGATAACAGATGTTCAACATTTTAATTTTCAGTTTTAAATGAAAAGATGGACCTCCTCTTCGTTATAAGTTTATGGGGATAGAAAAGCATCGGTGTAAATGGCCCACTCAGGTTTTTTTTACTAAAGACACTTCTTCTTCTTATTTCTTCATTGAAATGACATCTGAGCAGGCACCTAATGTATAGACATACATGTGTCTTGTAGGTTCAGTCTGGTAGTAAAGCTTCTGGTAGTGCAAGTGCTAGGTTTGGCTCCTCTGGATGGGGGTCTGCTAAAGCTACAACCACCAGGCTAGCTTCTGCCACACCACCTATTGGAGGACATTTTACTTTGACCTTCAAGGGAGAATCAGTTCAAGGTGAGTGATTTATGATAAGTACAGAATGTATCATGTAATAAAGCAAGTAAAAATAATAAATATCTGTAACGAGGACTGCAATATTTAATGTAATATGTCTTACTAAAACCTCTCCATACAATGTGTTCTAAAATGTAGCCTAATTTGATAAATGAGAAAAACTATATGAAAGATTTACATGTTTATGTGTTGTCAATTTCAAGAATGGTAATATTTCAGTGCAGTTGATATTGACACCACCATTTTGTATTTATACATTTCAAAATGCTTTGTTTTAGTGCCTGCTGGTGCCACTGGCGATGAGTTCAAGGATATATTTCAGACTATGTCTTCCAGTGGACTGTTGGAATTGTGGAGATCTGGCACCTGTTCTGGCTACAGCTGGTCAGTCAGTTTCCTCTCTAATACTGGAGACCAAGAAACAATCCAGGTCTGTGTATTTTGTATAGATTCATGTACCTATCATAATAATCCAACATCATAAAACCTATGTTGAAAAATCATGTGGCTACATATGGAACCATTGGGATGTAAGAAGTTGTCTGATGGAACCATACATCTTCCCTTCCTGTAGATGACAATTCATTGACAATTATTGGTGATCCATTCTCCTACATCATTAGAATTTTGTTTGCTGCTTGTAGCTTGATGGGTCAACATTGACAGGTAATGAAGTAAGTGTCAATGTCCATACAAACACTGATGGAGGGGTATTCCTGAATCCAGTACAGGGAGACTGGCTCAGAACTGCTCACGCAATACCACAGGTAGACATTCTTCAAATAAATCTCACCAAGTGTTTGAATTACATGTCATTGATCTAAAGTTTGTGATTTGATGAACTAAATGCGGTCAAGAGAAATGTTATAAATTCCCATAAGTCTCACTTGATAATCAAATCTATTCTATTACATTTATATTTATTTTCATTGCAAATTTGTCGTGTATCAAAATATTTCATAAATTGTTTATTATTTGGTTTTATATTTAAACTGATAGGTTTCTGTGGAGATTAACAATATCCCATCAGCCTGCTCTGGACAGTGTTCTTTTGAATACACTGATGCCAATACACCATCTATCAATGGAACCACACCACAAGAAGGTAGGACTAACCACTGTCAAAATGTACAATATGCACGTTTCAGAGGTACTTGACTGAAATGACAGATGACATGTACATGTATTAATACAACCATGATGACTAAAGCAAGTTTTACAATATTTAGAATGACCAACCGTTGTAAGTGTAAGGATAGGGTAGAAATGACACAAATGAGAAATAAAAACTACATCAAATAGGTGTGTTGCGACCAGAAATAAACTCTATACTGCATGATACAATAATATATATAGTTATACTTTCTTTGTAGGTTCAGCAAGTGATGGTACAGAATTGGTTATTTTTGGAACATCATTTGACAGCAACATGAACAACAACATGGTGAATGTGGGAGGAGTCCCCTGTCAGGTGACAGCTGCAACAGCCAATCAGATCACATGTGACATCGGCATAGGGCCTGCTGGGAGTGCAGATATTGTTGTAACAGTTGATGGGCAGGGAAATGCTCTTCACACTGGAGGTCCATTCACCTTCACCTATGTAGCTTATGTGACAGATATTGAACCAAATACTGGAAGTGTAGCAGGTGTGTTATCACTTTCAAATTATCTTAGTAATTATCTTATCCAGTATAGTTAGAACAGTGGTAAAAGAAAATGAAGAGAATAATTAAAAACTTGAAATCTAACTAAATCCACAAAACCATAAATTTTGACTATGTTTCTCCAGGGTATCTTTATTTATGCTTGTAGGTGGAACCAAAATTGTTCTGATTGGTACAGGACTAGGACCCCAGGCCACTGTCACAATAGGAGGCAACCCCTGCGAGATTATCAGCAGAAACTACACTCACATAGAGTGCATCTCACCACCAGGGGTAACTAATTTCCAAGACACTACCAAATTATTGTCCCATGTATTATCCCACCATGGCAGCAATTTGTAAGATTAAAAATCGGTGTATAGGATTCTAGTATGAAGTTCAAGAAATCAGAAAAAAATGAAGATTGTGCAATCTATTATTTCCAACCTTTGACAAATGTTGCAGATATGAAATAATGTTTTGTACAAATTATGATATTGCATTGCAGGATAGTGCAGGTTCAGTTGAAGTTCAGGTTAGCCAGTTGAGTGGTGTGATAACAAGTAGCACTAACTTTGCATATGACCAGGCTGTAACTCCGACTATAAGCAGTATATCAGCCAGCTCTGGCAGTGTCCAAGGTAAACACCTTCACATATCACTAGACTCCCACATTCACTATTGAAATGTAGTTTAGTTATCAGTTCTGGCAATATTCTTTGTAAAACCTTGACACCCTGTTATCTCTATGAAGCATTCAGTTCCTGTAAAGAAATACCATGGTGAAGTTGTAACAATAGTCAAAAAGGAATATTAGAATATTAGGAATATAAGGACCAATCAACATCCAATATGGATTTATTATAAGTCAACCACATCAATAATTTCATACATGAATCATATATTAATAGTACATTAAAGAAAAAGTGGACTTGTGAGTGAGGATGACATTTTCCCATACCTTTCTTATTTTGCAGGTGGAGAGAGCATTGATATCTCAGGTAGCATGTTTGGTGCATCACCTGTGGATGATAATGCAGTGCAGGTGGCTGGTATAGCTGCTACCATTGAATCCTGGAGTGATACAGCAATCAGTGTGATCCTCCCAGCCCTACCACCAGGTACTCATCCTCTCGTGGTGGCTGTAGGCCAGGAGGGATTTGCTGACACAAGGTACATGTAAACAGATGAGTCTACAAGTAATTGAATAATTATTAGGATGTATACGTATGTATATGCACAGTGCATTAATGGTCTTACTGTAACTGTACTGAATACGAGGAAGTGTTTTCTTGACTTCATTTTGTAACTTGGTTTGTTGTAGAGCAAACAATATCCCTGATATCAGTGTTACCCTAGAGGTTACTGATGTTTCCCCCTTAGTTGGTTCCAAAAATGGAGGCACTAAGGTGACCATCACTGGTCAGGGATTTATGGATGGCACCCCAAAGAAGGTGACTATTGGTGACACTGATTGCTCCATTATCACGGAGTCTACTACAGAAATAGTCTGTGAGATAGGAACCCCAGGCACTGACCACTTTGTGACTAATAATGGAGTTCATTCAAGTAAGATTACTTACTACTAATGGAATCAACAGCAATCTTTGAAATCATTTTGTCAAGACATGGGGAAAATGTTTCCATCGGTAATACTGGCTTCAAGCTTTCATTGTTTTATACCATCTGATACTTTCAATGCATGTACTTAAATTAAAATAAATTAAATAGATTGTGAGCACATCTCAGGAAGGCGATAGTAAGGGCTGAAATGTAGAATTCTTAAATTGGCAAAGGTGCAAAATAATGCCTTGCTGCAATTTTCATACCCTTGTCAAAGGGGTCTGAAGAAATCTAGATTGATAAAATCCTTAATGATGAAATACTAAATACTTATACATTCCAGTTCATGGAAAAGGTTATGCCTGGGAGCCTCAGATAGTGGATATCCAAGAAGGAGATACAGTCAACTGGCAATGGGCAGCCCCTGCTCTAGTGAAGAATGTAGGATACTTGGTTAATCAGACTGTCAACAGTACAGCCAAGGAATATGATGGCTCAGGATTCACTAGTGGAGCAGTGAGAACTGCTCAAGGTAATACTGTATATATGCTTTTGTAAATATTTGATGTTTTCTACCATTACAGTCGTCATTGTACAAACTAGGCTTTTAGCAACAATACAGTGGTAAGGCGTACATGTTTGAGGTCGAAATAAACATTCTAAATATGCTCCATGTTACTTGTAGGTTCTTTCAAGCACCAGTTCAATGCTGCAGGAACATACTACTATTGGAGTGACTATGTTGACCTAGCCTTCAGTGTTTTCCTAAGAGGTACCATCCGTGTAACAGAGAGAACCGCATTTAATGGGCCAGTATCTGTCAAAGTGAATAATTTCGAGGCAACATATACCATGGGAGGAGCAGGTATGTAAACTTCCAATATAAGAATGTAGTCAGCCCTAAAAGCAGACCAAACCAACTGAATGTGTTTAAAGTTAAATAAAATTTACTTGATAGATTCAATTATCAGATTTATATATTTGTGTTTTATTGTCTATAAACTTAAAAGAAAGGGGAGTGGCTCATAATATAAGGGCGTAATCCTCTCTATTTTTCATTTTGTGAAGAAGAATATACACTTTGACCTGAAACCTAGCATATGAAATAAGTTATTCAATTTGACTAGCCAATTGCAATTAGCGTTTGGGTCCAGAATGTTATATTCATTCTTGATTCATGTTCATTGATACTGTACCTGTATTTTGATATGAAATGTGTTTAAGCTGGACGGAGAAAGCGTGATGCCTGTGCTGCACTGAGCAACACCATTGATGGATGTACCAACTCTGGAGTCTCCAGCAATAATTCAGTAGGGTTTGAATTTGAATTTACTGAATGTAGTACTGCAACTGTGACTTCTGTCAGTCCTAATAGTGGCACCTCATATACTAGCATTACAATCACAGGCACTGGATTTGGACCTGAGATATGCCAGAACGATATTATGATTGGCAGTCAGCCATGTACCATTTCTGCAGCCTCTGAGACCTCTCTGACATGTAATCTTGACCATGGGGCTGTACAGCAAGTTGGGATGGCATACCCTGTTACTGTCACAGTGAATAACCGTGGTGAAGCAGCTAACATGATTGGAGCAACTTTGGATCGCAGTTTTGCACTGCTACCAGAAGTAACAAGCGTTTCTCCCAGCTCAGGGTCAACTGCAGGTGGTACTGTGGTTACAATCTCAGGCTCTGGATTTTCTGCAGCATTTGAAGATACTTCTGTGTCAATCAATGGAATTGATTGTGTGGTTGATGATGTCACATATACTACTGTGTCTTGCATTACACGTGCATCCATAGAAACATCTGGTGATGTCGTTGTAGCAGTGGGTCAGTTCATGTCAACTTGTGAAGGTACATGTACATATGCATATAGTAATGCTGATACCCCTACTGTGTCAAGTATATCCCCAATTACAGTCAGTGGCAGTTCTACAATAGTCTCAATAGGTGGCACAAATTTTGGCAGCAATTCCTCAGCTGTTCAAATCACAGCAGGTATGCATGAATGCACAATTACAGACATTACAGACACCAGCATCACTTGTGACTTTGGCTATGTGACAGTTGGGGAGCAGTCGATCAGTATTAATATTGTAGACAAAGGTAAAGCTGTGACAAGTGTATCGAGCCTGACCAGTGAAGCTGTTGTAGACTCATTGAGCCCAAATCAGGGCAGTGTCAATGGAGGAACATTGATCACCATACAGGGCAATGGATTTGATGATTCGAACACTCTGGTTACAATAGACGGTGCTGAATGTGAACTAGTGACAGTAACTCTCTCACAGGTAATAAATGTGCATTAATTGAGAAATCTTGTTCAACATTGACTGCATACATTGTGAATTACATATATTTATAATGCACATTACACATTACTCGACATTGATAAGAAAACCTAATGTTATCACTTTTTCTTCAGATAACTTGCACAACGGGTGCAAATGTAGATGGAGCAGCCAAAGTGAACATTGTGTCAAACAGTGTGACATATCCCGAACAAGACTTTACCTATTCTGATGCCATAACTCCTGTCGTATCAAGTGTAAATCCCACTTCTGGAGGAACTGGGGATGACATTACTATAGCAGGAACTGGATTCTCCTCTTCAACATCAGATGTGTCTGTGATGATTGGTACTGCTTCATGTAGCGTGACAGCATCATCAACAACATCCATAACATGCACATTAGGAAGTAGTCCATCTGGATCATACACTGTAGATGTTGCAATTGATGGTGTGGGCATTGCATCTACATCAACATCTTTCACATACACACTCCGAATTGACAGCATCTCACCAACTAGTGGTAGTTTGGGAGGAGGGCAGCCAGTGACTGTGTCTGGTGTAGGGTTTGAACCCAGTGATACCCAGGTGACCATATGTGGAGAGGCATGCATCGTGGACAATGATGCAAGTACCTCCTCTGATATCCTCTGTGTCACTCCAAGTAACAGTGGTAAGTGTTAAAGTATTACTTTGAATACATTTATCATGAAAATTTCCATATTTTCAATATTATTTAATATGATGAGAAATATGAATAGGAGAAAGTAAAACATCATGTGAATAATTTTAATATAATAGTTATAGTTATGACATTATGTTCATTCTTCTGCTTTCATTTTCAGGTATTGGGACTGTCACGTGTGATGTTGTTCTGTCATCAGGTTTGTCAAATGATACTCTTAGCTCTGGCTACACCTATGACAGTTCAATGACCCCTGCTGTGACATCTGTGTCCCCAGCAAGGGGTGGAACAGGAGGAGGACTCTCAATTACTATTGCAGGATCGGGATTTGGGTATGTTTCTTCTGATATATAAAGGATGACTAATGATTTCTGAATGATCCAATTTTATCCACAAATGAATTTTGTATCTGCTTAAGTGAGTGTAGCTAGAGAGTGTGGATATAATATCCTTAAGTGGATAGAATTCAAATCATGAGAATTTCATAGGTTGTTGTTTTATTCCATAGTTAAAGGGTGATTGTCATGTTCTTCCCTTCAAATTAAAATGGTTGATCATTCGTTATTACTGTCAGTCTTATTATGAGTAGAAATAATCTCTTATCTATTGGATATGGTGCCACTGCAAAGTAGCTATTGAATAAAATTGCTTTATTATTGCTTACAATTATGATAAACATGATGTTCAGATGTACCCATTATTTTCTTTGATGTTTTTCAGCTCGATTGTTGGAGATGTGAATGTGACGATAGATGGTACAGTTTGTGCTGTATCTTCAGTAGAGGACACAGCAATTGTGTGTGTCACTGGTGCACACTCCTCTTCAATAAAGACAAAGGCCAGGGTGGAAATAGGAACAAGTGGAATCGCTACTCAGGTAAAGGAAAAAATGAAATAAGCTCTTCCATAACTTACCATAGTTGATTAATATAAAATGTGAAAGTAAACAAGAACAATTATTTGAATTGGAACACATGGTTTCGCATGCAAATGTTATTAGATCTAATAAAGTATTTATATTTCGATGTTTTAACTGTAATCAAAAGTTACATTCCCAGTAAATATATGCTATATTATTACTTCTTGCTAATATTTTAGGATGGTGCAGATTTCTGGTACATTGATGTTTACTCTTCACCATACACATGGGGCGGCAATGACCCACCCGTTGAAGGGGACTTCATAGTTGTACCTGACTCCATGACTCTCCTCATAGATGTTGACACACCAATTTTGTCATTCCTGCTTATCCAAGGTCAGTTTACTCCTGTTAGTTGTATGCCTCATGAAGGATTTTTGATTTCAAGGTTTCAAAGGCCTAGTTGTCAAAAGTGATTGACATCTCAGCAAGAAGTATTGACCATGAATTCATCGTGCAATGGAGACCATTTGATATTGATTATCTTGTTCCTTGTAATTAATAATTTTTTGAGTTGACCCAGTTCTCAATAAGAATACTGGATGTCAAACTTGATCACATTTCAGGTGGCACTGTAATGTTTGATGACAGCAAAGATATCCATCTTCAAGCTAATAACATTCTCATTGTTGGTGGAGGCTCACTTCAGGTATATATCTATCTTGTCAAATATTCTAAACATATTACAATTTTTTCATCATTCTTAGATATATCTCTGTATTCGGCTGCTAATTGCAATTTTAGTCTTTCGGTACTAGCATTTTATAAAATGTTAGTCAAAAGCTTATATATATGGTATTATATATTGAAATATTCAAGGTTGGAACTGAGTCAGAACCCTACCAGCACAAGGGCATCATCACAATGCATGGGCATCTCAGATCCTTGGAATTTCCCATATATGGGACTAAGACAATAGCTGTCAGGGAGGGAACCATTGAACTTCATGGTATGAATTAAGTGATCCCTTTTGATAATATTGTTACGTGCAATAAAAATAACAGCAGTAGCATATGTTTTATAAACCTTCAGTTCAGATCTTGTCATATATGTACCTAATTAAAATCAATTTGCGCCAAAAATTTTCTTTCTGTATATTGTCCAGAGTATGATCAAGTAGGCTATTAAGTAATTGTATAGGTGGATGTATTTTGTTTGATTTCAATTTTTTGAAATGTTTGATAAATCAATTGAAATTGTAGGCAAGCCTGTAACTCCAACATGGACCCATCTTGGCTCTACTGCAGCTGCTGGTGCCACTTCTATAACACTCAATGAAGCTGTAAGTGGCTGGAATGTAGGGGATGAAATTGTCATAGCAACAACAGGTGGTAGACACTCACAGAAGGAAACTGAGAAAAGAACTATCACTGCAATATCTGGGACAACTTTGACACTAGATACTGCGCTGGTGTATGAGCATCTTGGAGTTTCAGAGACCTTCTCAGATGGTACAACTGTTCAATTTAGAGCAGAGGTTGGGCTCCTGACAAGAAATGTTGTTGTGAAAGGGTCCAGAGACATGCAATGGGCTGATGAAATCGAGGCTTGCCCTGATGGCTTTGATACTGGTAAGAATGCACTATTATTGTATATAGTGAGTAACACATCACAACTTTCCTTGCAGCATTGATTTGGGAATATAGTTAGAATCAGTTGAATCAATGAATTATACAAGTTCTAAAATCCTAGGTAACTTCTGAAATCAATGATGTTGCATTCCATAACATCCAATATGTAAGCACAAGTGCCAAAGGTATTGGACCAAAAATTGTTAGAACCCAGCTCAAAGTAGACTGCTGATATAACAGACAATATTCACTTACCCACTTTCTCTTGTGTATCAATTGCAATTACAGTTAAATGTTTCTTTCTAGGTGAGTTTGCAACACAAACCTGTTTCCAAGGAAGGTTTGGTGAAGAGATAGGTTCTGACCAGTTTGGGGCAACAATTATGTTGCATGCTCCTGAAAAAGACCAGGACATCGTTGCTGGGCATATTTCATATGCTGAAGTGACATATGCTGGACAGGCATTCCGTCTCGGCCGTTATCCTATCCACTTTCATCTCAATGGGGACATGTCTGGAAGCTACGTAAAGGGATGTGCTATCCACGAGACCTTCAACAGAGCTGTCAACATCCATGGCAGTCATAATATACAGATTCAGGACAATGTTGTATATAATGTAATGGGCGGGGCACTGTTTTTAGAAGATGGTGTAGAAACTGGTAATGTATTTGATCACAACATAGTTGTCTTTTGTAAACAGAGTACCAGCTTGCTAAATGATGACATTACTCCAGCAGCGTTCTGGTGTACAAACGCTAACAACACATACACAAGAAATACAGCTGTTGGTGGCACACATTTTGGCTTCTGGTTTCGTATGCATGACCACCCTGATGGTCCTTCATTTGATGAAAATATTTGCCCAAAACATAGTCCTCTTGGCTTATTTGATGACAACACTGTCCACTCTCAGGGTTGGTTTGGTCTTTGGATCTTTATGGAATGGTACCCAATGAAAGGTGGTGGGTGCGACGCAACGGAAGCAGAACCTGCAGTGTTCAAGCGTCTCACTGCATGGAACTGTGAAAAGGGAGCAGAAGCTGTCAGTGTTGGTGCAATACAGTTTGATGAAGCCGTCGTGGTAAATAATGACAAAGCTGGGCTTGAGTATAAGATGACAAAAAATGCCCTGAAGTACCATCCAGATGGTTGCCTAGTTAACAACAGTGTCATCATTGCTGAGGCAACATCATCAGACTGGATATCATGCACAAAAAAGGGTATGATATTGCCATGGGATGCAGGATTTATCATAGCTAACACAAAGTTTGTCAATTTCAAATCAGGTAGCTGCACTGCGTTTGCTGCAACACGTATAGATGGTACATGTATATTGGAGTGTGGAGGTTGGGATTATATTGCTTATGGATTAGAATTTTTTGATTCCCCAAATAAAGCCCTATTTGAATGGCCCCATGAATATATGATCAGGGATCTTGATGGCAGTCTAACTGGCACTGTTGGGGCTACCGTGTCACCTAGTAATCCGAGTCTGCCACCATCTTGTAGTGAAGATTCAGCATTCAGCATCGGCAGCGTACCTGGTAGCGTTTGCAGTGACCCCAACACAAAGTTTGTGAGATTCTCCTGGAACCATGCAGTTCCCGATTCCTTAGAGGCAAGAGATGTACTCTTTACAAACCAATATGGAACAACAAGAGTTAATTATTTGAAGAAGAGGTTAACACATAAACTGGGTTGGATGGTATCTTTGTTGTCTGGGGAGAGGTACAACATGTTGTTTGAGCATGCTGGCCACCTCGTGAACATCACATATGATGGGAAATTTTATGGTCTAATGGTGAGTTACTATAAAGTCGCCTGTTAAGTTAAACCAACAGCTACTTTTTTACTAACAAAATATATGTATGAACATACATAAAATGACACCCTACGTCGTGTAGGAGAACAATAATACACATGTATGTATCGCTGTGTAAAATAAATGTGCATTTATTATGTTGTGTTACTCTAATTGACACATCAGTTCTTGTGATAATGAATTACAAATCGACATTAATTTTTCAGAATGATGAGTATGTTATCATAGAGCACAACTTCACCCAGGCGCCAGATAGATTCAGTCTTAATGGCCTGCTAGACCGCAATGTGACTGCTGAAGAACTGAGCTATTCTAATGATAATGTATACGATTATCACTTTGATAAAACAACAAATGATTTCACATATCTCAGTAAGCTCCTATGTGTTCTGTTTTACACAAGTAACCCAGTCTCTTTTCCAATCATTGACAGTTGAATACTGTATTATGTGTCTCGGGTTGATGGTGTATTACCAAATAAGATGATAATTTTATATGCAGCTGAATTGTTATCCTAACTAATGAATAGATATACGAAACCACAAATTCTAGAATACATTTAAAGCATTACAAAACACAAATTTGAAAGCACAACTAGTCATAGGGAAAACAAACCCTCTTTATCTCAAAGTATCCAGGAACCAATATCACAATTCAAAACCACAAAACCGTAGCCATAAAATATACTCTTACTGGGTAACTAGATTTTGACATTTTCAGTGTGTAAAATAGCTTTATCTGTAACCATGCCTAATTTTGAAGTATTATTGCGTTATAGTTTCTGGTAAATCCCAGTCTAAACGTGCAGCTATTGTTGATGGCGCTATCGACTATTATGGCTCTGAATTTGAGGTGAAACCTAAAGTTTATCGGTGTTACTATGAGGACTGCATCCCACCTGTTGATCCTGCCTCTATACCCCCAGCTTCGAGGCGACCAGACGACTACCAGGTATGGTCAGACAGTGCCTACTGGGCTGGGTCTTCATCTAGACGACGCAGGGCTGCCCCAACTGAGGGTGATGATGTGCTTATCAGGGCCGGTAGGAATTAATATTGTATATTATTGACCTTACATTAGTTGAGTTTAAAATCTCCATTTAGGAATGAATTACTTTTTGAATTGTTTGGATTCATTCTTTAGTATATGATGAGGAAAAACTTGTCCCTGCCTACATATATTTAACTGTTTGCTTATTTATCGCTTCAGACACATGGGTTGTAGCAGATGTGGAACTGCCCTATATGCACAAACTGACCATAAGTGGTACACTTGAGCTTGAGTATCTCCCTGATCCTGAAACTGGCAAGGTTCGGGACTTCACACTCAATGCCACTTATATCTTCATAACTGGTCGATTCATTGTTGGTTGGCCTGACACTCCTTACACTGGACTGTGCCAGATCATCTTGAATGGAAATCACAACACCCCTGACATGCCCCTGCCTGATGGACCTAACATGGGATCTAAAGTATTAGGTTAGTCATATCATGATAGTCACATTTATGTAGGGTAAATTCAGAATGTAGTATACTTCGGGAAGCTTCTAAATGTGATAAATTATGTTGGCCTGTTTCTGATTGTGATTCGACTAGATCTATCAATTTTATTCTGTTGCATATGCGACCTTTTAATAGGTACCTTCTATCATCAAGAATAGGAACTATTTAGATATAAGCCAGCACTCCCAATATAATCTTTCTATTTTTAAAGGTGCCTTTGGAGGTCTTGATATGTATGGAATCGACAGAGATGTAGTATGGACTAAACTCGCCTCCACAGCCAGTGTTGGTGATAATACCATTACTCTAATTGAACCTGTAGACTGGGTAGCTGGAGAGCAGATTGTTATTGCTCCAACAGCACTCGATCCTTGGGAGACAGAGACATTTAGCATTGTGTCCGTATCAGAAGATAAGCTTTCCCTAACACTGAATGACACACTTGCATACAGGCATACAGGTAAGTAGTAGTTAAATTTGAGAGAGGTAATAAAAGAGGAGTTATTAAAGATTCACGAGTTAAACATACCATGAACGATTGTGAGATGTTGTTAAATTATACACTGTATGTTGTAGCTATCAATAGAAATAATATTGATGATTCAATAAATTACAGGGGAGACAGAGACATATGGTACATATACAGTGTCAATGGCTGCTGAGGTGGGTTTACTCACTAGGAATATACGGATAATTGGAGCTGATTATGACAAGCTTTACCAACAGTCATTTGGTGCCAGGGTCATTGTTGGAACTTTTAGACAAGACGGCACGTTCTACACAGGTAATTAGCTGTATACTTGCTGATATACATAAGTCAATACTCTCTGTCAAATACCCTTTTAATAAAAGCATGTACTACCTGATCGGAGCCCAGATAATTATTCATTTATGACCAGAAATGATTAGTAGTATTCATTTATGACCAGAAATGAATATAGTAAGATTTGAACAAAAAATGATTTGTATATTCTATACTTTAATATTTCAGGCTATGCAAGGCTTAGTAATGTAGAGTTCTACCATACAGGCCAAGAGGGTTACGTTGAGGGCTATGATCCTAGATACTCATTGGCATTTCTAGATACTGGAGCAAACACTGAACTTAAACCATCCTTTATTTCTAAGTGTTCTTTCCATACTGGATTCTCCCCTGCTATAGGACTATTTGGTGCCACTGGCATACCTGTCACAGACAATGTGATACATCACACTGTAGGTCAAGGTATGTATATAACTTAGTTATTAGTGCGTTACTGACTTGCGTATCTATGCTATTCCACTGATATACTGATTTTCAATTTGCCATGTAAATGTTAGAAGATGTACTCGTATACTTATATTTGAAACACAGAGTTTGTCATAGAGGATACTTATTGCAGGTATGAGAATAGCAGGATCTGGTCATGAAGTGCGTAGGAATTTCCTGTCATTGATGATCTGGCCAGGATCATATCAGGATCGTTCAGAAGGCTTCAACTATAACTATGAGGCCTCTATTGAGGTACAGGATGGTGTAGATATTGTTCTTGAGGGCAATCATGTTGCAGGATCCGAGAGGGTTGGATTCCATATTGATGGCGAATCTTGTTCAGGTAATACAAGCAAATACTACAATAGTGTCATGAAAATATATCAGTTATTCATAAGTTTTATACTGGCTGCTGTAAAATCGTCATCTCCTCAGATGTGTGTGGTTTCAGCAGTTTTACATAAAAACAGTGGAAGCTAAAAAAGGTCTCATTACATTTATTGATCAAAACCAAAGTTGCAACAATCACTATTCTTATATATATCTGATGTGAATCTGACCTGATATGAATAGCTGATGAAGTGAAAATGAAAGCATATAATAACATACATCATATCAGAGGAATGAGATATATTTACAATTTGGTCCAACAGATTAACATATCACTTGCTCTGTATTTTCAGGTAGTTCTATTGAAGCATGGTCTAACAATGTGGCACACTCCTGTATGTTTGGTGTCTTTATGAACAAGGAGACCCTTCCTTCATCAATGGCAAGCTGTTTGAAAATCTCAGGCTTTGATTTGTGGATGAGTTATGATTATGGAATATATATCCAACAAGGTATTAAAGAAACCAGGATTGAAAATGTGCGACTCTTGGATAACCAACTTAGTTTGATTATGATTAATAATGGTCCAAAGGCACTTTCACATGTGGCTGAAGACAAGGTCTATAAAATCAGCAACTCACTCTTTGTTGGCACCAGTGCTGCCTATGATTGCAATATCAAAAAGCAAAATGATGATAACACAAAAAACAGTGGAGCAGCCAGGACAGGTATTCGATCAGGACATCGGGTTGGATTCTTTTGGCCATCTTTTCTGTCTACTCATAATGCAGGACCCAAAATGCCTTATCCAGGAATGACATCCTACCCTGCAATTGCTGGACTGGTCACTGTGGATTGTAAGTAGAAAACATATCTATGCATATACTTTAAATGTATTTTATGTCACAGTGTATGCTCATCTCTATTTGTTAGTGGCTTTAGGCCTAATACAATTGAAGAACAAACAGAAATAGAAGAAATAGAAGTTTTTTGGGGAATACTAAATTTGACATAAATTTTTGTTTTGCATTTTCAGCTGTAACATTTGCAAACTTTGGTGACAATCAGTGTGGTGGGAAAGATGTTGTTATCATGACAAATCCCAGTAATGTTGATGGTATGCACCCAGTTAGAACAAGCAACATTGAACTTGTAAATGTAGCTGAGAAAGGAAAAGCCTTTCTTGGCAGACCACTACTCAGCCATATTGATCCTTCAAATTGTGTTGACATGGAGTGTGATGGTAAAAAGAAGGCTATATTGGATGATCTTGATGGTACATTCCTGGGAAGCATTGGAA